ACCAGTAGACCAGACGCAGCAAACTTCCTGGCTTTTCGTGGTAGAGGAGGGGGCGGTTGATGGGATGCGATGTAGCACTCTGCTTTGCGAAGTGCGCGGGGAGGCTGGCTGGAATAATAGGGCCGAAGCGACAAGCTGACACGACCCGAGCAGCCTTGGTTCCGATGCGGGTTGCAGGTGGGATCAGGGAGGGCGGTGGTGCGACAGTTTTCCTTTTGGCTTTGGATGGTGCAGCAGCAGCAGTAGCAGCAGCAGGTAGCTCGTTGGTGGTGCGTTGGATGCAACGATCGGGCGGTCGGCGATGCTGAGTCTGACCGGACTGACGTCGAGAGGTAGGAGAAGTGGTGGCACGATCGGCAGATGGCTGGCTGGGTTCGGGACGGAGGCAATCGTCAATCGGCCAGACGGGGCGCTCGGTGGATAGAATGCTGCACGGCGTGGTAAAGGTGGTGCGGTGGTGCGGGCGATGAAGTTGCAGGTGGGGGAGTGGAATTTACATAGGGACGCTGGGTCTTGCTCTGCAGTCACCAATTCCAGGGCTTCCCTGGCTCGCCTGGCACCACCCAGGTGACTTGAGGGACTTGAGGGGGACCCCGGTGCTGGCCCGATGTGATAGGCCGGGGAGGCTCCTGGTCCTCTGACAAAAGGCGGGGCGCGGAACGACCAAAGGCTTTCCGTGGCTCTTGGACTGGATCTCGCCTGGTGGGCGGCTTCGGGTTTGCCCCTCCCTCTTCGAGTCCTGCCTTCCAGGACTTTTGGGGTGCTGGGAGACAGGCGCCTACTGTGAGCGGCGATAAACAACCCTCTCATCTTCACGCAACGTCACCTCACCTAAACGAAACCGCCCGCCGACCAACAACAGGCAAACAAAACGAGGGCTGGCGATCATCACAGCGCTGCTGCCCCCCCTTCTTCAAACCCCTCGAACCAGAAGCTGCCGGGATGCCAGCATCCACAGCACGTCCGGCATGGTCAGGCCTCTGAGTGGATGCCGCTGCATGCACTCGCTCGCAGAACTCGCATGGGCACCGGTATCCGCACACAAGCCTCATGTCCCTCGTCGTTTTCCTCACCACGATTGTGCGGGGCAACGACATGCACTATGTGCCGGTGCGGGCAATGGCTCTCCAATTCCAATTCCCAGTCCGAGGCCACAGGGCTACAATATTTGGGGTGAAAAGTAGGATATATCCTAATTGCCCGGAACTGACGTGAGCATATGGAAGGCAAGGAGGTTAAGCCTCCGCCCGGCTTACCAATTGGCATCGGGTAACACTACTAGAGGGCTGGAACCGTTATCAGACCGCCAGTGAAGTTTACAGGAGCAGCGAGCTGAGCTGTAGGAGCTCTGCATACCGTCGGAGCGCCCGTCGTCTGGCTGGAACGGGCAAGCAATCGATTCGCCGGGTGAGGTTTCCGTGCTGTGTTCTACATGCAACCTTGCTGTGTTATCTGCGGGGGCCAGCTGCTGCCCCTCCGAGTCGGTGACGAAAAATCCGTACCCAAATCCAGCCGGTGCCTCCGGCGATCTTGGGGGCCTTTGGGGTCTTGGACACAACCTGAAATGAACAATGTACGGGGCCAAGTTTGTGGAACACATGTCAAGCCCGTTCATCTCGTCTTTGCCATTCTGGAAACCTGGGCCCAATCTCGGTGACAGGCAGTTGACATGGTCATTGGAGGTCGGGCTGCCGAGTCATTCCGGTCACCCCATCAGCAAACCCTCCTGTTGTGTTGCACCGCTGCTTGCATGACACCGTCGGGACGTCGACGGTCTGAGCTTGCCAGCGCCCCAACTGGTTGTATCGGCGTTATTGTGCATTGACTATCACAAGGCTGATTCTGGATGTGGTGTTGCGCTCCGCTATATTGTTGGCTGCTGGCGTTCTGGACCGTGTGATTCAGGCGTCATGCCTGCCAGCAATCAGCTCCCCTGAGCTCTGCTGCTTCCCTAGCCCTTCTTTTCCAAGCGCCCAGAGCTAGACTAGCCAGACAATGACAGGTCAGCGCAGGCGCCGGGAGGGCCCACGCATAAGCGCCGAGATCCGTTCCTGCTGTTGGTCGGCGCTTCGGGTCGTTTCAGATGCCCTTTCGGCTGCGACCTAGTGGCGCCGTTTTGGAAGGATGGCCCACTTTTTTTTTTCCAGATCGTAAACCGCTTTTTTTCCGCAGCCAAAAGGTTTACAAGCTTGGTGAAAATCGTCCGCTTTGAGCCCGAAATTGGCTGGCATTCCCCTGCCGAGACTCCCATTGGGCCTTGAATTCCGGAACGGGAAGGCCTAAAAAAAGGAGCACACCATGCCATCACTCATAGATGCAAAGTCCAGGGTGAGGAAACCCGTTGATGATGGCGACGATGCGGATGCATTTGATGGCGTCTCAGAATCGGATTCGGCTGGGGACCAGGATGACCAGAGCGTCGGGTCTGCATCAGACTCGGATTCGGACTCGCTGGACGATGCCGGCCCAAGAAAGCGCCGGCGGACCTCTCCAGAGACCGCCGATAGCCCCCCAGAGACCCGTTTCACGTCCGTCTTCAGCGCCCCTTCACGCGTGAAGCGTGCTCAGGAGCACACCCAAAAGCCGACCAAAAAGGAGCCGGAGAGGTCGGAACCTCTCACGGGAGTCACCGCACCGATCCATGCCGACACGACGTTTGAATCGCTTGGGGTTCGGCCATGGCTGGTGCAGTCCCTCTCTAACATGGCCATCCGGAGACCCACCGGCATTCAGAAGGCCAGTATTCCTGAGATTCTCAAGGGTCGGGACTGCATCGGTGGCAGCAGAACAGGTTCCGGCAAAACAGTCGCCTTTGCTGCTCCCATCTTGCAGAAATGGGCTGAGAACCCATCTGCCATCTTTGGCGTCATCCTCACCCCTACCCGGTATGTTTTGCTGAGCCCCCCTGAAATCGCCCCTGACAAGTAAACAGTGAACTGGCCCTTCAGATCTATGAGCAAATCAAAGCCATCTCCTCACCACAGTCTCTCAAGGCCATTCTCATCACGGGCGGCTCAGATATGCGTCCACAGGCCATCGCTTTAGCCCAGCGCCCGCATCTCATCATTGCCACCCCCGGCCGTCTCGCCGATCATATCCGTACTTCGGGCGAGGACACCATCTGTGGCTTGCGTCGTGTCAAGTTCGTCGTTCTTGACGAAGCCGACCGTCTTCTTGCTGCTGGGAACCGCGGGAGTATGCTGCCGGACGTTGAAGAATGTCTGTCGGTTCTCCCGCCCCCCGCAGAACGCCAGACTCTCCTCTTCACCGCCACAATGACGCCTGAAGTGCGCGCCCTCAAGAGCATGCCTCGCCAACCGGGTCGCGAGCCCGTTTTCTCCATCGAAGTCGACACACAGCAACTCGCCATCCCGGCAACTCTCAACCAAATGCATTTACAGGTCCCTGTCACGCATCGCGAGCATTACCTCCACATGTTCCTTCTCACGTCAAAGAACGTCGAAAAGTCCATCATCATCTTCTGCAACCGCACCTCAACGGCCGATTTTCTCCACCATCTGCTCCGCCTTCTCGATCACCGCGTCACTTCCCTTCACTCAAAACTGCCCCAGCGTCAAAGAATCGACAACTTGGGGCGTTTCCGCGCATCAGCTGCTCGAATCCTCGTGGCTACAGACGTCGCCGCTCGTGGTCTGGATATCCCTGAGGTCAAACTTGTCATCAATTATGACATTCCACGCGATCCAGACGATTACATCCATCGAGTCGGCCGCACAGCTCGTGCTGGCCGAACTGGTGAGGCAGTGACATTTGTTGGGCAGAGAGACGTTGACCTTGTCCTGGCCATTGAGGAGCGTGTTGGCAGGAAGATGGAGGCGTGGCAGGAAGAGGGCGTCAACCTGGAGACTCGCGTCTTGCGGGATGCCCTCAAGCTTGTGGGGGAGAAGAAGCGGGAGGCTTTGCTGGAGGTTGAGGAGAATAAGGAGGTTGGCGGCAAGCGAAAGAAGGGGAAGGTCAAGTTGCGGGCTGTTTAGTGATACCACGAGTAGAAGACGATATACCTGAGATAACAGGTGTAAATGAGCTTGGATCGTATCAAAATAAATACTGCCTTGACTGTTCCCCTTTTATTGAACCCACGAAAATGCAAACGGGTTGTACGTGCTTCTGAATAATTACATCACAGGCCGGCGAGGGAAATGGTAACCCTCAACATTGGCATTTCGCTGATAGGTTCAATGTCGAGTACACACATGTGATCTTGAACATGTAAAGCCACAGCTCGACAGTCGCTAATCCACAAGAGCGAAAATCCTTCCTGAGACAGCATCGATATCTCGAAACGCTGCTGTCAAAGAAATCATACCGGCCGACGAGCTATAAATGCCTGCTCTGTCAACGGACGATACCATGACCCGGGGGTAGAATATTCCATCTGTTGTGATGTAGTCCTTTTCGCCACTCATTCTTCCAGCCTCTGGAGCTTGTGTCGAACACGATCCTCCGCCATTTGTTTCATTTTTGGAGCAGCGATCCGTTATGGCGCTACTACCATTGACGTGGAAGGCCGTCAACCTCAAGACGATAGATGGTTGCATGGAAGAGACAAACTTGAGTGTCTGCCTCCAATGAAGTATGAATTTTTTTTTTAAAAAAAAAAAAAAAGACTACTGAGCCTTGCTCAAAACATAGTAGCGAGTCAAGTCCTTGAAGCTCCGTAGACCAAAAAACAAAACAAAAAAAAAACAGCAATCCTACTGTGGAGGTGTAAAGAAAGTCTCGTCCTCGACCAACAGCTTTCAAAACCAAACTGAACCCTGGACCGCAAATATCTCCAGGAAGGGACAAACCGCAATCACGTCCGATACCTCCTTCCTCCTTCATCTAACCCCCCCATCTCCCCCAAAAGCACCTTCCTTCTATCCAGCTATTGTGTGTACGACGTAACTATCAGCCACCTTCCCAGCATTCCCACACCTTGAACACCGATCACACACCGGGCTACATAATATTTGTTTCCAGAACGAACAAACATCCAAGGCCGCGTGGCGCAATGGTAGCGCGTTGCTTTCCGGTGGCAAAGGTTTCTCGGTTCGAGCCCGAGCGTGGTCGGATTTTTTTTTGGCTATTTTTTGGGGGGCATTCTTCTAACCCCCCATTCTGTAGTTGTAATGTGCTTAGGATGTGTGTGGAGGCATCTACCAGATCCCCACGGTGCAGCGGGGAGGGGCCTGACGTCATGATTGGGCGGCGGGGTGGGTAACCCGCCCCCAATGCGGTTACGGAGTTGTATAGCGCGCTTTCTTCCTGAATCCCAGCTGCGAGCTGGGTGGATCGTTGAGATGGCAGAAATTTGATCGATAGTTTGTGTTGTTTCGCTTACTCGCAGGACGCTGGGTGGTCGAGTAGTGAGAAGCCAAAGGTGTTGCTGGACGGTTGGTTACGGGGTAGTATTTCCTCAATATGAATCGGTAGTGTTTAGCTCGGGGATGGGTGATGGGGGTCTAATTGCTTGGCTAAGGTGCTGCCATGATATTGAAGCGTTTGTCAGGATGAAGATAGCCAGTAGGGAGGTGTCTGATTACGTTGTTCTCGCCGGCTTGGAACCATCGAGGGCCTCACACTTCCAGACTTGGAGTTTCGTCTTGGGGCACATTTCTAATTACCATCCGCTATGTCTGTCAAGGCAATACGGAAATTTCGATTTTGAACTCCGACTGCTCGCAGCAAGGAATCCCAAGTACACTCCAGCAACTAATTCAACCCAACTCCTATGCTATCTCACAATAAGTCCCTCACTTGAAGCTCTTGATCACTTCCTCCAGACGCTCAATCAACAGATCCGCATGCCCCTCCCTAAAGATCAACATGGGCCTCAGCCTGACTGCTGAAGCTCCGCTGCCGCCAATATTCACACCAAACTTCTTTGCCCGGACCAAAAACTCATCTCGGCGCGGTGAATCAAACGCGATGAACGTGCCCATCCCCTTGCCTCTCAAGTTCTCAATCTCACCCGGGTACTTCTTGGCCAGCCCGTCCAATTTGCCAAACAGATAATCACCGACCTTTGCTGTGTTGGCCACCAAGTCGAGCCGCTTAATCTCTCCGATGATTGCTTTGAACAACAGCGCCCTCGCCGGATCACCCATCCACGTGTTGAACTGGCGATACGGTTTGTTCGGCCTCAACTCGGGGTTGCCAAAGTAGTAGCCCGCTGTTTGCGCCTTCTTGCTGAATGTCACCATGTCAGGGGGATCCTGCAAGTTCCAGTGCTCGTGCGCCCAAAACTTGCCCGTGGCACCTACGCCCGTCTGCACTTCGTCGACAATCATCAGAACGTTGTGCTTCTTGGTGATGGCGCGCAGCCCGCGGAAGAACTCGGGCGAGGCGTGGTTGTCGCCTCCCTCGGACTGAATAGGCTCGACGACGACAGCGCATGGCGGGACGTGGTAGCTTGTGATCAGATGCTCGACCTCCTCGAGGGCAGCCTTCTCAGCGGCGCGGTTCTCCTCGACGTGCTCCTCGAGCGGGTACTTGAGCTGCGGAAAGGTGGCCTGGGGCCAATCAAATGCGGGAATGTCGAGCTTGTGGATAGGCTTGGAGCGGGTGGTGGATAGCGAACCGAACAAGCGACCGTGGAAGCCGGTCTTGAAGCTCAGGATGGATAGCTGCGAAGCACCGGGCGACTGGTTGTTCATGGCCGAGGCCATCTCCTCCTCGGTGAACTCAACATGGGGCCCACCGCGCTCCTGCTGGCGTCGCCACATAAAGGCGGCTTTGTATGCGGTCTCGTTGGCGTCGGAGCCGGCCATGGCGGTGAAGACCTGCTTGAGACCGGGCGGGGCGACGCTGAGGATGCCCGACTTGAGCACGTCCGCCCAGTCGGCTGGGGGGAAGTTGCCGAGGGCGGGGCGGTTGATGAGGCCGTTGATCATGTCGTCGCTGCGGGCGGCCTTGAGAAGGACAGGGTTGTTGTAGCCGATGGGGATGGACGCAATCTGGGCATATACGTCGAGCAAAATGTTTCCGTCCGGGTCGGCAATGTAGTTTCCGGCGCTCTTCTCGTAGTCGGTGAGCATGTTCAAGCTGCGCGTGTCGAAAACCTCGTTTAGTTCGGCAATGGCTGCCTTGGCCTTGGGACCGGGGATCTCAGTCTTGACGACCGGGCCTTCGGGCTCCCAGGCGTAGAAAGGGGCAGACATGGTGCGGGCTGAAGCTGTGAACAGACGGCGAGACACGGCGACAGGAGCAACTCTGGCAACCCGCAGAGCAGCGCTGCCGTTTCGGAGAACCCGCGAAGCCATCGTGGGCCGTCTTCTTTATATCAACAGCGCGGTGGTGTGTGGGATTGCCCAATTGGGTCCGCCACGTCGTAATGCGCCGTCTAGATCGCAATTGATGTCCTGATGGTTGCGGGTCGGGGCAAAGGAAGCACCACGCCACGCAGTTGTTGCTGAGTGAAGCGATGGCCGGGTGGCTACCACCGGCTTATAAAGGGCAACCACTACCCGCAGCCTGCTATCCGCCCTTGTGGAAAGCGGGTGCGGGGTCGGCCTGCCGTGATAACGTCAAGGGCGTCAAGGCCCGTGTGTCAAGCTAAGGTAGTCCGTGGTTACGTCAGGAAATCAGACAAACGGTCTAGATCCGCAATTCAACGCGCTGCTTCCTTCAACGCTGCGAGATCGGGGTCGGCCGGCATCCCGGCCATCTCCAGCCAGTCGGGGGCCATGCACGCCCAGCCGGCCCCGCTGCGACCTGGGGAATGGATGCACTCCGTCAGACCACTTCCGACCCTTCTGCCGGTCCCGTGATAAGTGTGGCCGGGGCGATAAACAACATGGTCTGATCACGAACACGTCTCTCTGCGCACACACTTTTCCATGCCGACGAATACCGAAATATGTTTCAAACTTCCATTTCGCAATACTGTTTACCAGCAAGTTATCTTCGACCAGCCTCGAGCCCGTACTCGCTTTCCTAACGCCGATGCACTTCCATCCCATGCTCAACCCTCGCCCTCGGTGATGACCCAAACTGATGTTCGCAAAATAAAACACGTTGAAATTCCCCACGCTTCGAAGAAGAAAAACACACCGGAAATGGCAAGGGAACTTCATATCCGTACACAAAAAAGCGGTGTGAGGTGTAGCACCGGGTATAGCCTCAAGAAGTCTGGTAATGGTTAGCTGACCACCAACCGTCAGTGTCGAAATCAGCCTGGGCGCCATACTGCTAGCTGCTGCTCCCAGGCTCATCCTTCTGTGGCGGCTGGAGGCCGGCGTTCTGCGCAATCTTCTTCCACGTTTCCAGTTCGCGGTACAGCCTGTCGCATTCGAGTTTGAGCTTGTCGTTGGATGCGCTCAGCTCCGAGATGGCCTGTTCGGTGAGAAGCTTCTCCAGCGTCCACTTCTCAATGTTTTGCGACTCGTTCTCCTTGAGCTGCGTGATAAAGGCGACCGCCCTTTGGAGGATAGACCCCTTGTTCTTCTCGCAGCCGGGGACGATCTTGGCAAGCTCATTGATGCCCTCGTTGATGGTCTCACGACGGCGCCGTTCCACTGTCCCTCGAGTTAGTGGCCACCAATGACGAATAGAAAGCATACGGACCTTCTTTGTGGTTGTCTTTTCTGATCTTATGCCACTCTTCAGAACCTACGGTGGGCTTGGGGTTGTGAGGCCGGTAAGCCTGGTCCACACCGTTGGGGGGTTGCATTGACGGAGCTGCCAGTGGCAGTCCGTCAGGCTGAACCGATGCGCTGAAGGAGTCATCATGGTGAGAATCGACCGCCTGGGCGGCAAATGTCTCCTCCGTTGTTTGCGGGACGTGCAATGTGGGGTACATGTTCAGCGCTGCTGCGGCAGTGCTAGATGCCGTGGCCGAGTCTGTCGCGCCGCCGTGATCAGCTGTAGCCTGAGCGAGGGCGTTGAAGTCTTCGACGTTGACGTGATCTTGGGCCGCCTGAGCCGCCTGAGCTATACTGACCGTGTCCTCGAGAAACGATTGCGGGTCGGGCTCGGGAACGGTCATTGCTTGGGCACCGCGCTTACGGCGTGAGTCCGGGGATGCAGACTCGGTAGTGCGTTTTCGTTTCTGACCAAGAGTGTTGGTGACGTCCGAAAAATCGGGCTGCTCAATACCAACCGCGGCGGCCATATCGACAAACAGTGGACGCTACTACAGTGGGGGTCAATGCTGCCATTCGTGTCAGTAACCTGTCGCGACGCTGTGGCTGATGGGCCATTGGGCGATAACATCGAATACGATGACAAAGACCAGCAATAAGATTTGACAATGAAATGCCCCAGGCATGCATGCCGTCGCGAACACAGGCAGTCCTTGATTTTTGTATGGCGCCCATTGAAGGATGAGTTGGGCTGATATAGGCTCATCCTCTCGTTTGGCGAGGTGGCGCCGCCTTGGGGATATCCGCGCGTGTCGCGCAAAGTCGCGCAAAAGTGACAGGCTCGCCCAATTTGACTTTTGCGCAATGTGTTGCCCAGGCACACTTGTTGAAACTAGGCTGCGCAGTTTCGCCTTGATGAGGCGATTGCAATTCCGCGATAAAGAAAGAAGACAGTGAGACAAAGGAGTTGGGTTGTCGGCTCAATCACTTGACGGCCGTGGTGCAAGCGCTTGTGGCTGTCACTGCTTCGGCGCAGCTCGCCCTTGGCTTTCCGAAGCAAGTTCGCGACAAGACTGATCACTCCAGGCCTTGCGTTGTTGCGCGGTGGTCGCGCCGGCATGCCAGGTCGTTTGCGCCAATTTCACAGGACGTTGAGGCAAGGGAGCGTCTGTGAAAGGGTCTTGATGATGGATCGCCTACCTTCTTCGTCGCTTCGGCCTGGTCTAAGGTCGAGGTCATGTGAAGAACGTGCCCGAAAACGTGACGAGACTGCCGCAGGTCAGCGAAACACCCCTCAACAACCAGGAACATGCAACATGAGAAAAAGAAAACCAATTATTTATATGATTTCCAAAAAGAAATATCCACATACGGCTTCTCAAACCACAAAGTGTAGGCTTGCTTCTGCAGTGGTGGCCTGGGGTGTCTTTCGATGTTGATTGAGATGGGAAGATCATGTGAGCTGAGGTCTGGGGGAGGTCAGAAAAC